ATTTCGAACATCTGGTTTTCTGCTTGATTTGTGTATGGTCTCCTGTGAAAGTTGCCTTGAGTTTTTTAAGTGGTCTTTGAGTTATGGAGCACAGTATTTCCCAAGAAGCAGGATTTACTTAGCACTGGTGCAATGCTATCTTGGAAGGAAGACAAATTATAGACAGAAGTAAATAAAATAAAATATATGAGGATCACACAGTAAAATGCAGACCTTACCACTGAAGATCAGGTATAATTGGTTGCTATTAATTTATCTAGTTTTGAATCTCTGTGAAAAGCAAAAACAAAGCTTGGAAAACTTGGTAAATCCAAAAGGAGCTGGACAGGTGAGCTATATGTGTGCACAAGAGCATTTTAAATGGCTTTAGCAAACTTTAAAAGATTTTTTGAAAAAAAACCAGTTCAATTAAAAAAAAAAAAGTTGGAAGTGTTTTTCTACCTGAAAACTACTTAGAGAAATATCCAAGTCTGTGCTGCCTTAACCTATGGGATGTATAGGCCTTACTCCAGCCAAGTGTTGAAGCATGCTGATAGTTGAGTACTTGTGTGGGTTTCAGCCAGAGGAGTTTTTTCCTTGGAGATGTGCTCCCATCTCCCATTGAGCTGGAGCGATGCTGCCAGCCCAGCCTGCCCTGCTCCTGTCCTCCATTCATCCATGGCGCAGGGCGGTGCCGGCAGCATCCGAGCTCTGCTGGGGCTGCCCCTGCCAACCCTCCTTCTGCAGGGACCACAGGGAGAGCAGGGCAGGAAAGCTCCAGCTCTCTCCCCTTTTACACTCCTTCACCTGAAAGCAAGAAATCCAAGCATGAGTTCTTCCTTGATTAATTTAATTTAAAGCACAGCTCACAAGTTGTCCAGTAACTTTCTTAAAAATGTGAATGCGTGGGCTCCCTGTACAGATACTCCTGTTAGGAAATGTGTTGTACACCTTAGTGAAATGCTGTCCTTTACCATCCCAAAGGATGCCAAGGGCTATCACAGGAAGTGTTTCCTATGGATGTAGCTCTTCTGGCAACACACTGAGTGAGTTCTTCAAGCCTGTGTGGGAACGAAAACATGAGCCAGAGAAGCAACAGACTTTATATAGTGAAAGGAAATGGAAAAATCCCCTCTCCAAACAAAAAAAAAACCAATTTGCAGCATTTACATGTCAGCCAGTGCTTTTGAGTTTTTCAAGATGTTACAGAAATATCAGTCTTGGAAAAAGCAATATTTCACTTCTTCTTTCAGAACAAGTTCCTCCAGTCTTGTCCTGGCTGATGGTTGCATAATACTCCATAAAATGTAGATATTAATGCAGAATTTAATTATACTCTTTGCTTACTTTTCTCCCTCAGATTCTTTTTTTACCGTTACCCTTTTGCATCTTTGAAAGTTTAGAAAAGGGAAATAACATGTTTACTAGCTAAATATAACATGAGAATGTGTAAGACACAAAAGGTGTTAAATAGTCAAAATACTTTCTGTTTGCAATTCATGCGAAGTTTAGATGGTTGTGTCTTTCTCAGGACCAAATCTGAGAAAAGTGGAGAGGATGAAAATAAGTGGATTTGATTTTTCTTCTAGATATTCCATTGTGTAAGTGCATAGTAGCCAAAAATTCTTAAGCTACATATTTATACAGCACAATGGTTTCCTCTGGTTTGCTTCTGAGACTCATAAAACACTGCAGAGTAGGTGAATGAAAGCAGAAGTGGAAGAGAGTTCTTGTTGCTATTGGAAAGAAGGCAACAGATGGAGCAAAGAGAAAAATCTCTATTCTTTCTAGTCCACATTTTCTCTTGCCAGCTAATCAGTTCCCACTGGGGTCCCTGTAGGTTGCAAAAAAGTTACATCAAAGACCACACCTTATTATAGTTCTATCAGTATTGTTTATTCTCTCATTTTTAGATGGGTATTTTCACTTTTTGGGCCCTTAAGCAGGTTGGTTCAGCATTTCTGCACCACTCTGGTAGAAAAGGATAAGCACATGGCTTCAGTGGAGTTGGCTGAGCCATGCTGAAATGTGTCAGCAGAGGTCCTGACCCTTTCCATGCATGCAAACATACCAGTGTGTTGGGAAACAAACATAAAACTCCTCCCTTTAAACATAAGCTCAGCTTTAGTGGAAAATTTCTGGATAATGTGAAGTACAATAGAAAGGTTGTAGCTCTGCATGCTCTTTTAATTGAAATTTTCAGTTTTCCTTATTTGCTGTGGTATCATTTGGGCTGCTTTGTCATCTTCACCTGGATGCATTCATAATCTGAGAAACCTGAAATTGTGCAAATGTGACTGATTAAAGTCTGCCTAATGAAAAGGATCACCAAATAGGCCATGCAGCTGTAAGGAAGAAGCATTTTATAAGTACTGAACTTGGTTTTGAATTGTGACAAGGCCCAGCAAGTGCTGAGCTATGCACAGGCTTGCCCCAACATCCTGCTCCAGTTCCTTCCATCCTGCATCCACCTCTGACTTTGTTACCTGGCACTGGAGAAGAGCACTTTTGCAGTGGTAGAAAATGCTCATTTAGGGCAATCAAGAGATACCAGCATACCTTGAGTCCTTAAGGAAGGACTTAAACCGGATGCAGTGCACTATCCTTTGAATATTAAGGTCTGAATAAACTCTTGAAATGTTTCAGTATCTTGTAATGTTGTTAAAATTACATCTTTCTTTGTGAATAAGCAGTGGTTACTGAAAGTGTCTGTGTTGTAGTGTTTCTTCAACACTACTGGGTTCTTAACTAGTTTAGCAGAACTGTTGAAGATGTGGAGAATAATTATTCTTTTAATGAAATATTAATTTTCAGTAAAGTGAAAATACTTTATTCTTTTAAGATTTCGAAGTTTTTTATATCTAATATATAGAAATCAAAAAGGAGAATTTCGCTGGATGCTAATGTATTACTGCACGTCTCTTGAGCATCTCTAAGATGTGAAATGAAAATGTTGAAAATAGAAACATCAAAATTTTGGATTTATAAACCAAAATCAAAAGTTAGAAGACTGTAAATGTAAATATGGACCTCCTCTTATAAATATAGAGGAAACTTAGGCCTCTAGAGAGAAAGCTTGGGAAATGAGTACAGCATCCACCTATAGTCATTATAGAATAATTAGCACAGTGTTAAGACCCAAAAGAACTATATGCTGCTGTGTATGTATATTATATTCGCTCCTTTATATATATTTTAGAATAAAATAGCCTCATATGAAGTTGTTATTAGTTGCATCGAGCACTTCAAAGGGTTGAAAAAGTATCTCAAGGACCTTTATAATATTCAGGAATAATGGCTTTTTAAACACTATTCTAAAATTTTTTATGCAGTGTTTTCTGATAAAAGATCCTATACATTTTTTTTTCTTTCTCCCTTAATTTCCACTTTCTTCTCTATTAGGTTGAGATGTTTGGGTAAGAAATGGGGAAAACATTTAAAATCTGTTCTGTAACCTTATTTGCTCTGAATGCAAATGACTAGATTTGAATACAAGTAACTAATCAGTCATTCCTGTGCTGTGTGTTGAGACAAAAAACATGTGTTCTTCAGTAATAGTGGCATTACAAAATTGGGGGGAAAAGCAATACCATTGAGATTAATCTTTGTTAGCAGCTAGCTTCCATTCAGTATGTTGCAAGGAAGATGACATTCATCAGGTGTCAGGCTCACTTGGTTTCAGTGGCACACTTGAGGAGAGATCCTTTCTGTCCTTCACCCAAGGTGGGTCCCTGATGAAGCCCTCGAGGTCTGGCTGACTGTACCCCAAGGAGCATGAAGTCTTCTCTGCAGTTTTGGACTCTCTGGGATATTCAGAGTCTAAAACAGGCTTGTTCTGAAGCATATAAGCTCATCTCCAGATGTTGCAGGTCAGGGTGAAGGGTGATGTGGGGCTGGGGAGCAAGCAGTGCGTTATTGCCACCTGCTCCCTGAGCTGGCTCTTGCAATGCTCTGCAAGGCAGCGGCTGCTGGGACTGCCATACTCTGACAGGGGCTGCTCCAGCAGGTAGACCTTGGGTCCAATCCTGTACTGCAAGCCCTGGCTGGACTCATAATCTAAAATCCATTAGTAGGTCATAAGATCATCACAGATATATTTTCAACCTGCCTGTGCCACTGAGCTGGGAGATAGTGAGCCGAGCATCATTGCACGAGGAACAGGATGGCTGGGGAGTGATGGGTTCTCCTCCAAGTCCTCTTTTCTTTCTTCCTTGCTTTCTACAATAATCTTCTCCTTCAACATGGGCCTGTCTGCTGTTCACCTTCACCCCATTAAAGTAATTTTATCCTAGTTTTTAAAACCTGGGCCTGGAACAAGCTGTAGTTTTCAGTGAGCTGTAAGTATCCATGCTATATAGGAGTAGCAGTATCAAGTGAAATGTAACCACCTTTCTGCCTGTGTAGCCTGTGGGTGTTTTTAACCAACCTCATTGAATGTCTGAAGGCACCTGAATTGTATCATCTGAGTTACAATTGAGATTTTTAAAAGATAATCTACAGCAAGACATACAAAGTTTGTTAATCGACAGGAAGAAATGCAGAGGTTTTTAACCGCAGAAGACTGTAAGAATGGCATATATAGTGTTGGCACACAGCTCTCTTTTTTCCTGCTCCAGAAAAGGAGGGAAGCAGCTATATGAAATGCTAATAGTTTCACTGTGGTTTTGAATAGACTAGACTTGAGAGCCTTGAGTATTTTTCCTTTTCTCTTTTAACTGCAATTTTGTTATTGTATTGCTGCCCCCATCTCTGCTAAATATGGCTTTTGAAATGTAAATCATATCATGTTCTCAGAGATGCATATGACACCCTCAGCACTGTTCCTCTTTGCACTTCAAAGAGCTGTGTGGTCACACTTTGCATCTCAGCAAAATCGCAAGATTTGCCTTCTGAAGATCTCCTTTAATGTGTACAATCAATCCCTGATAATGTATTTTGGGTTTTTGTTCCCTCGAGTCTGTTAATTTTAGTGTTGCTACAGGTCATCAGGAAACATAATCTCTTCTTTTTTAATTTCTCAGTGAGCGTGCCTGAGGGGAGAGGAACACAAGAGAGGAGAGACAATTGAACATCACCATCGGCCGAGACCTGAAAAAATGGTGCTGGATGAACACAGGATTAGAACTTAATTGTAAAAGGGAAGGGAAGTCTTGACAGGAGATTTGCTTCATTTTCACATTCATCATGGCACAAATCCTCTGGCTGGCTGGTTGATGGGACTGTCCAACACTTCTCCTTAGTTTCAGTGCAGATCCCTTCTGCTTACACATCGAAAGACCTGGGAACAGGTGGGAACTGGATGGTGCCAGATACAGGAATGGAAAGAGAAATGGACTCTGAGGAGCTAAGATGGAAGTGACTTGACAGCAACAAGCTCAGCAGTTGTCTCCAGTAAGGACAGGTTGAGACGGGAATCTCAAGCTTCTCTGGAAGAGCAGTATGCAGGAAGCTGGTTTTCAGGCCACAAATGCTTTCACAGGTAAGGATTTATGTTCTCTTTGCTGGGTGCCCCGTGGCAGGAAGGAAGGAATGATGAATCTGACTCCATGTTCTCAGAAGGCTAATTTATTATTTTATGATACTACATTATATTAAAAGAATACTAAACTAAACGATACTGAAGAATACAGAAAGGATACTCACAGAAGGCTAAAAAGATAATAATGAAAACTTGGGACTCTTTCCAGAGCCTCGACACAGCTTGACCCTGATTGGCCATTTGAGTCAAAACACCCTAGAAATCCAATTAAACAATCACCTGTGGTAAACAATCTCCAAACAGATTCTAAAGCAGCAAAACACAGGAAAAGCAAATCAGATTATTATTTTCCTTTTTCTCTGAGTCTTCTCAGCTTCCCAGGAGAAAGGTCCTGGGCGAAGGGATTTTTCCAGAAAATAGGAATGTGACACTGTTCTAGTTCCACTCATATTCTCAGGATGATTTACTGGAGTTTGGAAAATGAATGGGTCCTGACTGTCATTAGCATCTTGTAGTACTTTCAGCTTAAATAGTATTTAAAAACAATTCACTTGAAGACCAGTTCAACACTTGGATCAGCAGTGAGGAACACAGTTATCCATGTTTCTGCTTTCAGAAATGGATGGCCATGAGCCTTGGGGAAAGTTTATCTCAGCTTTCCTCGTTAAAGTACTCATTAACAGCTTAACCATTTGTGGTCTCTTGGGTCAGTATAAAATGTAGTCTGTAAAGTTGCTCTTGTGCTCAACACAGGAGTTTGGTGAGGCTGCAGGATGGACATGGTTCATATCAGGAGGCTTCTCAGCAACATGTCAGTGTTGAGCCTTATCTTGTCTGCTGGAGCACATCTCTGGGCAGACCTTGCCAGGCACCCTCTCTGTACTCCCCCCTCTGCACCACTGGCCTGCTGCAGTGCTTGAACTGGCTAAACTGGAGGGTTTAAATGGGAACAGTTTCACCTCAGTCTGGTGTATTTCTCTGTAGATGGATTAAAAATAATGCAACGAGAAAGAGGATGCCACGCTGGTGTAACTTTCTGAGGAAAGCTCCCTCTAGTGTAAAGTCTGCTGGAGTTCATTTAGTGCTTTCCCTCTATGGGATAGTTTCTAATTTGAGAGGCAGGAGGAGGAAAAGAGGATGAGCAGATCCTGCTGCTTTGTTTCCATGTCTGCCAGCCAGCTGAGATACAGCAAAAAATGCATAGAAAATCAACTGGATATTACTCTTGTTTTGGTAGGTCTGGATAAGGGATTAGTACCACAGTGTAAACTAGTGATGTGCATGCAAGAGATTTATTTTTCTAATATAAAATATTTTCCTTCAGAAGGAGTTTTGGCTGCAGTGGGGTGTGGTTCTGTGTCCAGCTGTCTGCACCAGCACAGCAGTTTGGAGTGGTGGTGCAGCTCTGAACTGTCTGTGTTGCCTTGCTTTGATTTACAGCCTGGTTTCTGTGCATGCCAGTGAGACGTGTCCTGAAGGAGAGGAAACAGGAACTCTCCTCCACATGTGCTCCAGTGCTGATGGGAGAGGTGAAGTCTGGGACAACCCCAGGGCTCTCCTTCCTCTGTCTAGCCAGCAGCACACTCCTAAAGCTCCCCACTGCTGTTCTAGTCCTTGCTGCTCTCTGCCAGTCCTCAGCTCTTTCCTGGGAGTTTTTGTCACTCTTTTGCTTTCAACCAAAATTCCCAACTGTGAGGATATCTGCTCTCTTCCTTAACCTGGCTCTCTCCTTTGCTGGAAACCCTATTATTTCTAACACCCTTGCATTACTATATTATTTTCTGTCCAGTTTTACACTCTTCTGCCACTGTGTCTGCTGCCCCTTAGCTCCCAGAAGCTGGCACTGTGACAGGGTGCTTGGGGAGGGTTGTGTTGGAAAGCTGAGGTTTCATGATTGCTGCTGGATGGAAAACACCTGGCAAGCAGAGCTGAATAAAATTCAGAGATATGAAACTGGGGTCCTGGGAAGCCCAGGACAACAGTCAGACAGTGGTGCAGCCCAGCAGATTCAGATTCAGACCTATTCTGGAGACTTAATGGCATGAAGATTGCTTGGTCTCCTATAAGAAATTCTTATATTCTTTTGGAATTGCCCTTAGGTAAAGATGTTAATAAACATATTCAAATCTTGGCAGCTGTACTAAAGAATTATTAAACATAAAGGTGCACCAAACATTCAGGAGACTTGTTAAAGAAACAGGTTGAATTATATTTCCTTTGTATGAGGAGGAAACTTCCAACTTGTATCAAATTGATATCTGTATTTACTTTTTGGAGATCTTTCTTGTTCCTTTTTAGATTTATATGATGTACTCAGCAATAATAAACAGTGGGTAGGTATGTATTTCTCAGAGAAATCTATTGGACTGCATTATGCTAATTTAAGAGTTGCAATAAGAATGTAATGGCAGGTGCCTATGGTCACTCCTCTGATCCTTGCTGTAGTGCTCCTTTTGTTTTGTTGGAATGCCAGTTTAGCTGTAGGAGATAACAATATCTGCTAGCAGCAGAGGGGGCATGGCCACATGAGAGGGGAGCTAATTTGTACAAAAAAGCTTTGATATCTGAAGCCTGGGTGGTGTCAACACTGAATCTAGACATGATAAGTGATTGCAGCTATTGCAACAACCAGAAGAATAATTTCAATTTACAGCTGACCAGAGTGCTGGCAAAAGAAGCCTGGGGAGGACAGTGCCTCTGTGCAGCCACGGTCAGAGTCTTTCCTAAACCTCCTTTTCACTTTGCTATTTGCTGTTACCTGGAAAGGTTTGCAGTTATGGCTAGGAGATATTTTGATCCTGTCTGTACGCTTATTTTACTGGCACTGATGCCAAAGATTCCCTTTTTTGCAGATGGCTCTTGTCCCAAGACATGGGCTCACCCAGTCATTTTATCATGTATTACCAAACAGTAGCAAACATTTGAATATTTCCACTTTACATGCTAAATACTGAATTCAGTATTTATGTTTAGTATTCATTTATATATGTCCAGTATTCAGTATTTATCATGTTATACTCATGTGAGTATAACAGGTTCAGGATTACAGAATGTAGAAATAGCAGTGGAAGGGAAGTGCTCCTAGGCTTGGTTAGGAAAGAGATGGCTGAGCCTGTGATGGTAAAATGCAATTTGAGTGATAGCAATCAGGAAAGAGTGAGCCTGTCATTCTTCAGAAGGTGAGAAGAGAGAATTTGAGAATAAAAACAATAGTATGCAAGAAAGTATATTGCACTGAGCTCATAGAACTGATAGGTAATGTTTCCTGGGATACAAACCTGAGAAATTCTGGCAATTTTAAAAGGAAATAACTTTTTCTTTCCCAGTCAAAATAAAGAGTAAAAGAAGCCCAGATGAAAGGCATTCCAGTAAAAAAGGGCAAGAAGAGACAAAATTATATGATCTGATAATCTGACTAGTCCTTGCTGCTCTCTGCCAGTCCTCAGCTCTTTCCACCTAAGGTGGAAACTCATTATGTTACTGGAGATGAGTGTAAAAGAAGATGAGAAAAATGCAAGGGTCAAATAAGGTAGGCCAATTCACTGAACAAGGTACAACTAATAAAGGCTATGATAACAAAGAAAAGTACCACATTCTTAGCAGTTATAAGAGGAAGACTGAGTTTCTGGGCTACTAGTTGACAGGGAATTACAAAATGTCAGTTAAAAAACTCATAATCTGATGGTGCAGAGAGGATTTAGTAGTTCATGTAAGTTTTGGTATCGTTCTTTGCCTAAAAGGCTGATCTGGAATCAAGTGGCAGGAAAAGAACTGCGACCTTGAGAAAGGTAAGAATTCCAACTAGAGCAGGAAAAGAACAGATTATAAATTAATGAGATAGGATAATGGGTGTTTTAGAACAAGATGGAGTTTATTAAATTATCTCTTCAACATTGGGTGAAATAGCTGAAGCAATCTCTGAACAATTAGTGGCTTCACTGGAGAACATTTGGAGGACAGATTAGGTTCAAAAAATCTATGAAAGAGCAAACACTGCACCTGTGTATAAACTCTTCTGGGTCCTTCCATGTCCCCATTGGAGTAGCTAGCTTATCTTATATTCTTGGGGAAAAAAGTTTGAATCAAATAGTCAACTGAATTTTTTAATAATTAGCCTGTAGATAATAATATGATAAATGAATTTGCATGGATTTTTTTTCCCAGAAGGTACCTTGTCAATGGAGCCTAATTTTCCTGTGAGCAGAGAAATAATATATTTTGATTTTTGGAAGTCTTTTCAGTTTCTCATAAACAAGGTGGCACAATGGGCTACAAGGTGGGTACACAGTTGGCTGGAAAGCTCTTCTCAGAATAATTACTAGTGATTCACAGTCAAACCAGAAGGATCTGTCAAGTGGGATTCTGCCCTAGATTGCCAGAAAATATTCAATATTTTAATTAATGATTTAGATGATAGAATCTGCATGCAAAATTTCCAGATGACACCAACCAGGGGGAGGATGTAAACCCTCTGAGCACAGGATTAGAATTCAAAATTAATGTGATATATTGGAGAACTGATCTGAAATAAATATGATGTAGTTCATCAAGGACAAGTTCTAAATTGTAGTTCAACAGGAATAATCAGCTGTGCAAATCAAAATGTAGAATAACTGGTGAGACACCAGGTCTGCAGAAAACAGACGGGCAGTTGCAAGAGTTCAGAAAATGGCTATCAATCAACAATTCTGTGCCATGAATATTGTGCTAGAATATATGGACAGGAGTCTGCCTGCAAAATGATTTTTCCACTCTACTTGGCATTTGTGTGGCTGATGTACTATTTCTACTCTGAGCAGTGCTCTGTGGGTCTGTTGGAAGCATCCAGAGAAGAGCAGAATGAATGGCCAGAGGTCTAGACAACATGACCCCTGGGAACTGCAAAAAGGGTCTTTTTCAGACCAGTAGCAGTAACTCAAACTTTCTGAGGATTTTTTTCCCTTGGTTGCCAGAAGCAGCACAGATTTGTGTCAGGGCATGTCTGATGCACTGAGGGGCAT